TTTAAAATACTTTATTTAGAAACAAGTTTCCAAAATAATTACAATTAACCGCAATTTCTCTTCAATATACAAACTATAACACACAAGCTTTGCTTATTCAGCATTTTCGAACGTAAACTGTATTATTTAACAAGCTTCCACAGAAGGCACTAATATTTTCCCAGAACTCGGCTACAACGCATAAAGTGAGTATGAAATGGAGCTTTCGTTCCACTACGGCTTCGTCAGGGCTCGCAGTTTTATGCAATAGCTATAGCCATGACTACAATCACACACTATGAATAACCACACGTTCATACATATGTGTATGTATATGTATTTTGCTTTTACTCTTATCAGTTTACCGATATCAGTGTACTATGTTCATACGCATATATGTATGTACATTTTAATTAGATTTACCTCGACTTTGAAATAAAAAGTTTGGCAAAGCGATAAGAAAATGTGAGTTTTGCTTTTATTTATGTATTTGTTTTTTATTTGCTATTCGTTATCTCAGTTCATTTATAGAATCCAAAAGCGTGCACGACTTTGTGTTATATACCTCAAATTCAATTTGAGTGTACATACAAATCATCCTCATGAAATGTGATGCTAATCGAATGTAGTAAATTTATGAAGCAAGTTGTTTAGCACACACACCCATTTTATTTTGTTTCGGGGCCTTTCTTTCGAGCGGCTCTTGCGGGGCCTGGCCGGGTCGGCCTGGCCTGCGTCAAAGCTGCAAAGCTGCAAAGCTGCCCCGCCCCTCGGCTAAGCAATTTGATTAGCCGATGCTAATTTCAAGTGTAAATTGTGCATATGATGTCTCTAGTCAATATCTCTATATATTGTCAATATACATATAGTATATTCCAACCTGTAGCATATGCAAATCAGTTTCACTGCGGGCGATCGGGATGTGATTCACTGTAGATCAATACTTTAATATTTTACAAGCCACATTATTATATACTTTACCTGTCTTATACTGTATAGTAGTTGGACTTCATTTTTACGCTAGCATTGAATATTCATGACGTTACTGAAAAACGATACAAGAGTTGTACTCTATATCACAGCTG